TCGATTGAATATGGGCCGTGGTTGTCGGTGCGCTGGTTTTAAGATACGGTAACTACTTGGTGATAGTGAGGCGGCAAGTTTTGCAAGGGCTCTGCACTCCCAAGAAATCTGCGCAACGGGTTTTGGTCTGGAGCAGCTCCGCGGTTGGTGACAAATATCTCTTGCGGTGGCTGTTGGGTTCGCGACAGATCTAAGGAAAAATGGTCGACGAATCCGTGCCGTACATCCGTGCCTTCTCCGCCATGCACTCCGACGCTGAGAAGATGAGAAGATGGCTCCACCCTGCGATGGGTGGCTTTGCGTAGCTGGAATTGCGTTCACCGAACTCTGGCTGACAGCCAGCACTGACCGTGTTGACCTCATCGTGCCTCGCCCTTGCCTTCTCCGCCATGCACATCTAAACTTGAGATGAGATTGGTGCCGTAATTCACTCGTGCGGGAAATCCAAGTTCGAATCTGTACCGCACATCGCAGTAATATCGAAGGTACCTACCGCAATCACAACCGTTCGAAACACGTGGCGTCCGCTTCTGAGATGGTAACAAACAGCCGCAGGGCAAATAAATCTTGCGTGTGCATGTGCAAATGGGTTGGATGGGATGAAATTATTGAAATCTGCGAAACGATTTTGCGTGTGCGAATTGACGACAGGGTTGGCGAACTTCTTCCCTTGCAACCCGCCTGGGCTGTCACGCTAATTGTCGAAGCCCAACCCTAATCTGTGTTAGACAATCGTAGACATCTCAATTCAGAGAGTGAGACTCTAGCCACTCGCCGCAATCATCGCGAAAGCGCATTAGCCGCAAACATTACGAAGGTTACAGGGAACTAGTCAGTGTGGTCGCGAAGGTGAGCGAAGCCACCTCACCACGGAGCGCCTCAAGTCGTCGCGCCTCCCCTCCCCTGGTCGCTCCCCCCTTGGTCGCGCCTCCCCTCCCATCGTTGCGCTGCCTCCCCTCGTGAAGCCTCTCCTCCCCTCGTCGCGCTTACCCCCACCCTTCCCCTTCGTAGCGCCTCCCCTCCTTTCGTCGCGCCTCCCCTCGTTGCGCCTCCCCTCGTCGCGCCTCCCATCCCCTCGTCGCGCCTCCCCCTCCCCTCAACGCGCCAGCACCCCCATCGCGCTACCCTCTTCGCGCCTCCTCTCCCATTGCCCTTCTCTCACCTGCCCATCCCTTGCCTTCCCTGCCCCTCCATTCCCTCTTGTTACCTTCCCTACCATCCCTCCATGACTGGAAGGATCTCTATTTACATTTTCTCACACCCCCCTCACAGCCTGCTTCTCCTCACTTCTCCTCCTGCTTCCACGCATTCCCCCCCCTGATTCCCGTCAATCACCCCCTGCTTCCCCTCATTTCTTGCTTCCCCTGATTTTTCCCCGTTCTTCCCCTCTTTCCCCCACTGCTTCCCCTCATCTCCCCCCCTGCTTCCCCTCAATTTCCCCCCTGCTTCCCCTAATTTTCACCTCTGATTCTCCTAATCCCCCCCCCCCCCCTTGTTTCCCCTCATTTCCCCCTTGCCTCCCCTGATTCCCTCCCTGCTTCCCCTCAATTCCCCCCCTGCTTCCCCGTATTTCCCCCCCTGCTTCCTCTCATTTCCCCCCTGCTTCCCCTGATTTCCTCTCCCCCCCCCTGTTTTCCCTCATTTCCCCCCTTTCTTTCCCTGATTTCCCCCCCTGCTTCCCCTCATTTCCCCCGCTGCTTCCCCTAATTCCCCCCCTGCTTTCCCTCATTTCGCCGCTTCCCCTCATTTCCGCTCCTGCTTTCCCTCACTTCCCCCCCTGCTTCCCCTCACTTCCCCCCCTGCTTCCCCTCATTTCCCCCTCTGCTTCCCCTCATTTCTTGCTTCCCCTCCCTTCTTTCCCTCATTTCCCTTGCTGCTTCCCCTGATTCTTTCTCTCCTCCCCTCATTTCGCCCCCTGCTTCCCCTCATCCCCCCTCCAGCTTCCGCTCTTCTTACCCTCAAATTGTCCGCTACTTCCCCTCACTTTCCCAGTCCGAGACTTTACCGCCCGCCATCTCCCAACTCGTCCAATCTCCTCCTTTCCCTCTCTCCCCTCTTCCCTCGCTCCCCTCTTCCCTCTCTCCCCTCTTCCCTCGCTCCCCTCTTCCCTCTCTCCCCTCTTCCCTCGCTCCTCTCTTCCCTCTCTCCCCTCTTCCCTCTCTCTCCTCTTCCCTCTCTCCCCTCTTCCCTCGCTCCCCTCTTCCCTCGCTCCCCTCTTCCCTCTCTCCCCTCTTCCCTCTCTCCCCTCTTCCCTCGCTCCCCTCTTCCCTCTCTCCCCTCCTCCCTCTCTCTCCTCTACCCTCTCTCCCCTCTTCCCTCTCTCCCCTCTTCCATCTCTCCCCTCTTCCCTCTTTCCCTCCCCCCTTCCCTGTATCTCCTCTTCCCTCTCTCATCCCTTCTTTACCCTCTGCCCCTCTTCCTAACTCCTCCCATCCCCCTCCCCCCTCTTCTCGTCCCCCCCAGGTTTCAGAGGTTGAGGGATGTCCAAACGCACGACCACGGGTTCACACTGATATACAGCGCGTAAGCGTTGACCTGAATCGGCGCATGTAGTTCACACTGAAGATCCCGGTCGTCACACAGGACTCGTGCGAATGTCCGTAGACAACGGTTCTCCCCTGGCTCCGAGCTGAGCGAGTCTCCTCCCGTGCGGTGGGATGGCGGAGTGCTGCACGAGGGGACTCGCTTCCACACCCTCGCCGCCATCGCCATCCGCTGTGGCGCCCAGCTGCACCTCGCCTCGCTTTCCTCGTGCCCCACTCAGATATTCTCGTCATTACCGCCGTGTCTCGTGGGTTTCCCTCACCTCTGCCTTTCTGCGTGGAACTAAAGCATTGCTCTCCGCTGCTATCAGCCCGATAATCTGTCCCTCGCATCTCGCTGTAGAAGGTTCTTCTCCTGCAACAGTTGTGTCTGGCCTTCCCGAACACCCACATGCCACATGAGCACGCAGTCAGTGCGTCGCCTCGCAGCATCCTCACGTCAGTCTGTGCAAGATTCTTCCTCTCTCGCCCTCCTGCCGTCTAGCATGCCCTCCTCGTGTGCACCTCGTCACCCTCCTTCCCGCTGACCCTTCCCAAGCGCACGTCTATTTCCTGCATCGAGTTGAATCATTCCATGCATGCATCGTGTTTCATCCCGCCTCACTCATGTGCTGCCCACCGTGCGCGGTGTGTGGCGAGCAGGTGTGTGGCGAGCAGGTGTGTGGCGAGCAGGTGTGTGGCGAGCAGGTGTGTGGCGAGCAGGTGTGTGGCGAGCAGGTGTGTGGCGAGCAGGTGGCGGACATCATTAGGCGAACCACATGTCGACGGACTCGCAGATGTTCGCCTCTATTCCATATCTCCCCCCTTTCCTTCTTCCTGGCACATGTCTTCTCTTCTCTGTCCACTGGACTTCATGCTGTGCCATCACAGCCTGTGCTTTAATCAATACCTTTTTCTTATCCCCCCTTCCCCCTCCCTCGGGTTCTCTTCCGCTCCCTGACTATTTTCAGTGACTGCTCTGAAGATCTTTCAAGCTTCAACTCGCCTCACCCCATCATCTCATGACATGCTCGTTGAGTTTCAAAGCAGCTGGTAAACTCTTGTTTTCCAGGGCCTAGAGAAAGGTTCTATAGTATGGTATTACTCATGGCCTGAGGGAGCAATCAAAGTGAAGTGAGAACATGTGTCTTTCTACCTGTACCGTATGTGATGGGGACACTATCCATGCAGGAATTGCACTGCTGAGATCATGGTACCCAGTGGGCATCGTGATGCATATCTCTAGCAGTAACAACAAGACAGAACGAAGGTGCTGTGAACCATTCACTTGCTGCGCTTATGATCTTAATCAACCCCCTTATTCCTTAGAGAACTTAACCAATTGCTCTAAAGTGTTTTACTGTATGGTTCCCAGATCACACCATTAAACGGTGAGGAGGTTTCAGCACGCTGATCTTGCTGGCGTGGCTGTTCTGCCAACGAACTTCCGTATCACTTGACGTCGTGGCGGCCCCTCAAACCTCAGAGTCAATCTGCCACGTCAACAGTGGTCAGGTTTGGCGTGGCATTGTTTCGACGAAGCATCTTTCGAACGAGCTGCTGGTGGAAGCCTCCGAATATAGCTCAACGGACAGGCAATCCCGCCCGGCTCAGCTCGCTGCCCGGGGCAAAAACAATAAACCCTCTAGGAAGGGCATGCCATCCGAGGGAGGCATCAACCCTAAACACTTTGACAAGGTGTTTAGGGTTGATGCCTCCCTCGGATGGCATGCCCTTCCTAGAGGGTTTATTGTTTTTACCCCGGGCAGCGAGCTGAGCCGGGCGGGACGGGATTGCCTGTCCGTTGAGCTATATTCGGAGAAATGTCGTTGTCGGCAAAATGTGTCGCGCAGCCCAGCGAGGCATATGTTTCCAGGGTAAGCTGATTTCGCCACGTCGCAACAACCTTCGCCATTCTCGGAGTTCGTCGCTTGCGATCTAAAACTATGCCTCGCCTCACATGCCCTGCTCTTCCCATTTTCACATTATAAACCTCCCTTGGAAACTAATTTATATACTCGTCCGCCATTCCTCAGCTTCCACGCAATCCAACACACCCTCATTTGCACGAGCAAAGGTACCGCTGGTATACGTTCGGGTATCCAGCCATTGACTATGTCGCTCCTTTCGTTGAAACCCGCATTGCGACTGGTTGCCCGATCCGACGACATCACTCAACCTCTCTCTGCTAACCAGCGCCTGTCGACTGGCGCTTCAACTGTTATATGTCAAGCTAGTACCGAACTCGCGAATGCAGCGACAGTTCGCGAACCCGTGCGAACACCAGCCGCGAATTCCATCTCTAATTCCCCCCACGGTACTTCGAAACCAAACGATGACGTCAGCGTGACGAGACGCGCCGTGCTGTCGTCGCTCGCATTGCTGCCGGCGCTGGATTCGCTCTTCGGCTCCGGAAACTGCGGCGCTGACGTGGCAATGGCGCGGGAAAGGCGGACGAGGATCGACATTCCCGAGGAGATGTACCAAGAGGGCGGTGAGCGCAGAGGGCGGTGAGCGCAGAGGGCGGTGAGCGCACCGGGCGGTGAGGCAAGTGAGTGCAGAGAAAGTGATTTTTTCGTTCAGACGAGACGGGGAGCCGGCGGCAAGTCACGGCGGCAGCTCCGGTGCTCTCGGGGCTCCTTCACTCGCCCACCGCTCCTGCGGGCTGGGAAGGCCAGGCCGCTGGTAACATCTCTATCCCCCACCCTCCTCCTCCCTCTCCTTTCCTCCCTCCTCCCCTCCCCCACCCTTTCCTCCCCCTCCCCCCTTCCCCCTTCCTCCTCCCCCCTTCTCGCGCGCATCACGCGCGCTCGTCCCTGAGAGCACGTGCTGCGACGTGCGCAGGGCGCACACCTGCTGCCTGCACGGCGCACACCTGCTGCCTGCACGGCGCACACCTGCTGCCTGCACGGCGCACACCTGCTGCCTGCAATGCGCTCAAAGCGCTCAACACGCGCGCTGGCTGCCCCAACACGCCCCCGACCCCCCAACCTCTCCGCGTGTTGCGCTTTTCCACGGGTCATGCGCGGCATTCCAGCGCTGCTGCTCCCACCCCACAGCGGCGCGGGCAGGCGCAGCGCATGCAGCACGCGCGGGACACTCAACGTCTTGGCGCTTCCCCACGCCCCTCCCCCCACCTTTCCCCCTGTGTGCCCGTGCGGCAGAGGGCGGGTTGCGCTTCTACGACGTGGCGGCGGGCAAGGGCACGCTGGCGGAGCAGGGCGACCCCGTCGTGGTGAGACTGGGGGGGAGACGGGGGGAGAGGGGATGTGGGAGAAAGGGTGGTAGGCTGGGGCGAGGAGGGGGAGGTGGGGAGATGGGGCGAGTGGGGAGGGAGGAGGAAGGGGGAGACGAAAGGCTCATGCAAGTGTGGCCATGCTGCTCCGGGACAAGCAAAGTACCGAGTTTGTTTCTACGTGCTACTCGGCCCGTTGCATGTGGCCCACTGCTCACTTCCCTTGCCCCCATTGCTCCACGCTCATCCCTCCTTGCACACTGCCACGCCATGCCATTCCATGCCATGTCACTCCCCCATCCCGACACTCATCTCGTCCACGCATCATGGCCCCTCCACGCCACCTCGCCCACCGTCTCCTACTCTCTGCTCTTCCACCCCGCCCTGTCGACCCTCTCCTTCGCCCTCCCATCTTTTGCCCAATCCTTGACACAACCCCCTCCGCCCCCCCCTCTCCGCGCAGGTGCACTTTGATGTGACGTATCGCAGCCTCACCGTGGTGTCCAGCCGCCAGTCCAAGCTGCTGGGCGGCAACCGCGTCATCTCCCAGGTGCGCACCCCAATCATATTTCCTGTGCAGCACCCAAATTGTACCGCAGGGGCAGCCGAATTTCACGGCCAAATCATATCTGCGGAATGGCATTCTACGTGATTTCTCGTTTTCTCTATCTTTCCACAAGCCTGCCTCGATTCTCATCCCAACCCCCACCACCATTCCCCACTGTCAGACTGCCTCACTGCCCCAATCCTCTTGCCACGAGCGCACCCCTCCCACTCCGCTCCTGCTGCTCCCCGTCCCTTCTCCTCCCTGTCCCCCATGCACATGCATGACTCACTGAGCAACTGTCGCCGCCACTCGCCCTGCTCTCTTATCCCTCCTGCTCACTCTTGCTTCCTCTTCTCCCCCCTCCTCCCCTGCCACACCAGTGCAGTGCTTGCTGGTGCCAAAGCAAGGAGCAGATAGCAGGCGCAAATGAGAGGGTAGAGAGGAGTGACGTCCACTTTACTCTCCGCGCTCACTCATTCTTATCGCCACCTTGCACTTTACCCTGCCTCCACTTGTTTCCTCCCTCTATCCCCCCCCGTGCACCTCCCCCCTCCTTCCAACCGCACCACTTCTTCCTGCGCGCCAAGCTTAGGGGGCGGGGCGGGGGAAACGAAAGTTCACTCCACCCTCCAGTGCTCCCGCTTATTACCCCCTTGTGCATTTTTCGCTCCTTGCGTGCGTGCCCCTCCCATCCCCACAACCCCCCAGGCGTACGAGTGTGTCTCAGGGAGCCAAGCCCCCCTCAGGGAGGAGGCGGGAGAGGATAGCGCACTCCACTCACCCTACTCGCTCCTCTGCACTTCTCTCCCGCCTCTCCCCCCTCTCCCACCTCCTCTTCCCACTCCCACCCGTTCCCAGCAGCCATACGAGTTCTCCCCGGGCGCCAAGTTGGGTGCGGAGCGGAGGCCACGCCGCCACTCACCCTACTCGCTCTTATCCACTTCCCCCCCCCTCCCCCATCACCCCTCCCTCCCCCCTCCCCTCTCCCCCAGCCGTACGAGTTCTCGCTGGGAGCCAAGCCAGGGGCGGAGAGGAAGCGGGACAACGCAAATCCACGCCACTCACCCCACTCGTTCTTATCCACTTTTTCCCCTCCATACCCCCCCCACATCCCCACACCCCCCCCTCACTCCCCCCCCAGCCGTACGAGTTCTCACTGGGCGCCAAGCCAGGCGCGGAGAGGAAGCGCGAGTACGCGGAGTCGGCCAACGGGCTCTTCTCCGCCCAGGCCACCCCCAAACCGCCCCGCGCGCTCTACAGCGTGGTGGCGGGCATGCGCGTGGGGGGCAAGGTGAGGGGGGGAGAGGTGGAGGTTAGGGTGGGGGAAAGAGGTGGGGGCGGAGCAGAGGAGGGGTTAGATGTGTCATGCGGCGCTATGTTACGCAGTGTGGTGGAGGGCAAGTTGAGGGGGGGGGGTGCTGGGAGGGGAGGGGTGGTGCGGGGACAGTCAGGTTAGGGAAGGGGGGAGATGAGAGGGGGAAGAGGGGCGTGTTGAGACGGCGATCTATCGCGTCGTGGATGGCATGCACGTGAGGGTCAAGGTTCGAGGGGGAGGGAGGGAGAGGGGGGGATGAGAGGGAGGGGGAAGATGAGAGCGGAAAACAAGGAAGAAGGGAACCAGAGAAGAGGGTGTAGCAGTTGACGCGGGGGTGCACTGGAGTGGCAGGGAGCAAGGGAGTAGGGTGGGGAAACAAGGTGGGGGAGGGCGAGGAGTTTGGGACATGGCATGTGGGGGTCGGGGGAGGGCGCAGCACGGGAGTAGGGGAGAACTGGGCAGCGTGTGGCCCTGAGAAGCACCCCGTGGCGCCCCCACACTCTCTCAGGGCCTTGGGCGAAACAATGCAGTGCTTGCCAGCCACGCCGCCCTGCTCATCTCCTTGCATCCCTCTTATTTCTCTCACTCCCTCGCATCTGCTCTGTCCCCCCCCACAGCGCACAGTGATTGTGCCTCCAGAGCAAGGTTACGGCGACAAGGGCTTCGCTGAAATCCCTGTGAGCTCCCTCACCATGCCATGCGTGCCATGCCATATCAAACCACACGATGCCAAACCATGCCATTCCTAACCATGCAAAGCCAAACTATGCCATGCGATACCATACCATGTTATTCCTTGCCATGCCATGCCATGCCATGCCATGCCATGCCATGCCATGCCATGCCGTGTCATACAATGTGCTCATGTGCTACAGGCTCCTGGCATCCATTGTATCTTAAGATCTAGCATGTCATAGCAATGGCATTGACATGTCATAGCAATGTCATTGACATGTCATAGCAATGTCATTGACATGTCATAGCAATGTCACTGACATGTCATGGGCCCTTCTGCCCTCCTCTCCATCCACTAGTCCCCATGCACTCCCTTCATGACATGACACGCACCACCATCACCGCCTCACCCTTTCTCCGCTCCTCCTCGTCGCCCTCCCCCCCCTCACCCCCACCCCCACGTGCCAGCCGGGCGCCACCATCCAGCTCACAGTGGAGCTGCTTGAGGTCAAGGCCCCACCCTTGTAGCCCCACAGCCGCGCCGCCTCATCGCTTATTCCTCACCCGCATGGGGCGTCCTGTTGTGCCTCTTTGTGGTCACCAGCCTGTGTTGAGAAGTGGCTTGTGGACGAGAGTAGGGATTAGTCTGGATCCACATGGCCAGCACGCCGTTGCCATGCACGCTGCGAGCCTCTTAGGCTGCATCCGTGACGAAGAAACATTTCATCGCGTAAATCGTTGTAGTGCGCTAAAATGAGTATATAAAAGAGCACTCCATCCAGTACCCTTAAAGCGAGCAGGCAAAATAGTGAAGGGAGGCCCAGTTTGAAAGTTTGCTAACGACAAATTTGCCGAGAGAAACAATTTTGACAACAAACTTACAAGTCTGTACTGTTATGGACAACAGATCAAGCACATGTGATTGGTTCCCGCCAAAATGAAAGAATTTCAGTTCTGTGTGAGGCGTCGCATTTCTGTGCACGACAATCGCAAGGCGATTGTTTCAACACGTCCAAGCGATTTGGGCCCAGCTGGAGGTTCAAAGCAGGGCTGTCGCTACAAGGGCAAATGCCCTTAATGCCCTGAACATTAAGGGTTGAGTTCGGCCTAGGTCCCCGAATTTAAGGGTTGGGTTTCAGGTCAGCCCGTCTGGAAAGAGTGCTGTGCTCGGGGCTAACCCGGATTTCAAGTATGAGTCTTGAGGCTAGCCCTTTCCCCTTCGAACTGATTCCTCGCCGTACCTCCCTCCCCTCTCCCAACCCGCCCCATTTCCCGTCATCCCATTTCCAGGTGCAGTATAACTCTTCCCAGAGCCAGTTTCGAATGCTCTGTGAACTCTCGAGGTCAGGACCTGAAATGGTTTTTTTGAAGTCAGAACCTTAAGTGGTTCTAGTACAAACCGTAGGTTTCCGCTTGGAATGTCAGTCCTTTAGTTTTCTATCCGCGAAGAGAACCAAGATTCTGCCTTAGGTCGCAACAAGGAAGTGGGAATGCAACGGGCGGCCAGTGAATACTTAGTGCTAGATCTGGGTGAAGCTACACACACAAGTACTGGAGAGGTCCTAGTACCTCACCCTTACAATTTTGAGTGGGTTAGGCGTCTTTCCGCTAAGAGGTTTCATTCAGTGATTTAGCCAGGCGCGTGAAGAATCAATTCGGATGGGTAGTGCAAATCCAGGGTGATTTCTTGTCTAGCAAAAGTGCATGACACTTTGTAGCCCTGATTTCAAGTGTTGAGTTTGCACCAAAACGTAAATTTAAGGGCAAATTTCGGGGCAGCTCAGCCTTCCAAGTTCTGGCCCCAGAGCAATCGACAGCCCTGGTTCAAAGTGGGCTTGGGTGAATAACTATCATCCCGCTAGATCATTTCTGCTCTGAAGTGATTAGTAGCTTGGTTAGGCATAGATTTTTTTTCCGAAACTTAGGCCCTCGTACCATAGCCGCCTAAATCGCACGGTTGCGTAGCATTGGCTTGGCTGAGTGTAAGTTTCACCGGCTGTTTCGTCACTCACGAGCTCTTCGTTCCGCCGCCATCGCGATTTCCCCTTCCGTTTAGTCGTCCATGCGATCGATTCTCGCCTTCTCGTTTCGCCCTCTCGTTTATTCTTGTTGCGTTCATTATCTCCCCTCCCCTACCCGTCGCGCTTGTTATATCACCTCTCTCAGTGTCGCACTCGTAATCTCGCCTCTCTCAGTACCGCGCTCTTTATCTCCCCTCCCTTCCCCGTCGCACTTGTTATCTCCCCTCCCCCTCGCCATAGCTACCTCCCCTCCCCTTCCCGTCGCCATAGCCATCTCACTGTCGCACTCGCTATCTCCCTTCCCCTTTCCGTGGCGCTCCCTATCTCCCCTCCCCTTCCCGTCGCGCTCGCTATCTCCCCGTCGCGCTCGCTATCTCCCTTCCACTTCCCGTCGCGCTCCCTATCTCCCCTCCCCTTACCATCGCCATAGCTATCTTCCCTCCCCTTCCTGTCGCCATAGCTATCTCCCCTCCCCTTCCCGTCGCGCTCCCTATCTCCCCTCCCCTTCCCGTTGCGTTCATTATCTCCCCTCCCCTTCCCGTCGCGCTCCCTATCTCCCCTCTCCTTCCCGTCGCCATAGCTATCTCCCCTCCCCTTCCCGTCGCGCTCCTTATCTCCCCTCCCCTTCCCGTCGCCATCGCTGTCTCCCCTCCCGTTCCCGTCGTGCTCGCTATCTCCCCTCCCCGTCCCGTCGCCATCGCTATCTCCCCTCCCCTTCCCGTCGCCATCACTATCTACCTCCTCTTTCTCTCGTCGCGCTCGTTATCCCCTCCCTCTTGTCGCGCTCGTTATCTCCTCCCCTCCCCGTCGCGCTCGTTATCTCCTCCCCTCCCCGTTGCGCTACTTATCTCCTCTCCCTCTCGTCGCGCTCGTTATCTCCTCTCCCTCACCATCGCGCACGTTATCTCCTCCCCTCCCCGCCGCGCTCGTTATCTCCTCCCCTCCCCGCCACGCTCGTTATCTCCTCCCCTCCCCACCGCGCTCGTTATCTCCTCCCCTCCCCGCCGTGCTCGTTATCTCCTCTCCTCCCGTAGCGCTCGCTATCTCCCCTCCCATCCTATCGCCTCGGTCTTTCATCTCTCCTCCCGCTGCCCTCGTATTCTCCCTCCCTTCCCGTCGCCCTTGTTTCACCCCGTCGCTTTCTCCCATCTCTCCCTTCCCGTCAGCCATTCGTTTTTTCGGTTGTCCTTCCCTTTCTGCCGATTTATATATGTTTTCTCACTTCATGCTCTCACTTCTTCTTTCTTCCTTTTTTTTACCCCCCTCTCCGCGGTATCGCCGCATTTCAGGTCAGGACCCGTGTATGATGAGTTCGTGACTCTCACAGCCCTTGTCGCCTGCACGTAATTCTGTTGTGCCTTTATCCTTTGCCATTGGATGTTTGAATGTCGAGTATTCAATCTGCCTGGCTGCCTAATGTTGTTCGGTGAGAGCGTTTAGAAAACGCACATTGCAATTCTGCGACAAGCTTGTGCATTCATGCAACGCTTTTCTGACACCAATCAACATTGAGCACGGATTCAAAACATTTTTTGTTCAGTACGAAACTCGCCTTCGGAAGGTGGAAAAAAAACGAACACAACGTCTAACAGTACTAAGACTCTTCAAGTGGACCCAACTAGAAGGGGGGGTCACTATTTTGCCTGCTCGCTTTAATGGCGTGTGTTAGAATAAGCAGGAATGAATGGATGAACTAGGCAAGAGGTGAGTACAAATAGGGGAAACCTAACCCTAAAGTGTTGTACTCACTAAGGAGTGACCCTACTGTAGCCTAGAGATACAATTGTAATTTGACACACCCCCATAGGCAAAGTGGGGGACAGCAAACACAACAAACGGTCACAAGACCAGTCTGCAAAAGAGAACACAGCTCAGGGTGGATCACAAAGTCACCACACATTCTGAGCACAAGCAAGTGGCCACAAGGCCAGTTCACATGCAGAGGTATATAATAGCAAGACAGTACACTGATCACAACCTAGCAAGAGAAAACATGCAGGTATAAGATATATAGCAGTGTACAACAAGAGCAAGTCAAGCAACCAGCAGGTGAGGCAGAGTGGGCACAAGCCCAAGAGCAGTGCAGAAACGGTGATGATCACCAGACCCAAGGGCCTTGGTGAAGACATCAGCAGTGTTGGCCCGAGAGGCCACGTAAGCAAGGCGCAGCTGACCACGCTGCTGCAGCTCACGCGCAAGGAAGTAGCGAAGAGCAATGTGCTTCGTTCTGTGCTCCACTCTCTGCTCGCGACACAAGGCAAGCATTGCCTTGTTGTCGACGTACAGAACTGGAGGAGAACGAGGCCGCTCCCCCAAGTCGGTCAGCAGGTAGGTCAGCCAGCGTAGCTCCTGTGCAGCCATGGCCCCAGCGTAGATCTCGGCCTCACAGCTGGAACCAAGCACAGAAGAAGAACGAGTGGACCTCCACGAGACAGAACCAGAGCCAAGACTGAAGGTGTAACCCTGTGACGAACGCTGAGTCGTCTGGTCGTCGGCCCAAGAAGCGTCAGAGTGTCCTGTGAGGACCACCGAACCCCGTCCTCCAAGCACGAGCCCCATGCCCGATGTACTGCACAAGTAACGCAGTACCCTCTTCGCAGCATCAAAGTGCACCTTTCGGTGTCTACCGGGTGTCACGTAGCGAGCCAGGAGGCTGAGAGGGTACGCGAGGTCAGGTCGTGTGCACGTCATCAGGTACATGAGGCAACCCACAAGCTCTGGGTACGGACCACTCGGCTCTACGGACTCGTCCGAAGGTGGAGCTGAGAGCGAGTGGCCGGTAGACGTGAAGCGGAAGCGCTGAAGGACCTGCTGCACCATGTGTGACTGAGTGAGGGTGATGGTGCGCCGTGCTCTGTCCCGGGTGATCTGCAAGCCAAGATAGCTCCGCAGCTCACCCAGGTCAGTGCAGGTGTGTCTCTCCTGCAGCTCCGCCTTCACTAGGGTCAGTGCCTCAGTGTCAGCAGTAGCAAAAACCAAGTCGTCGACGTACACGAGGATGTAGAACGGCGGCAGAGTAGTGTCGGTGCGTAGAAACAGCGACGGGTCAGTCGTCGAAGGAGCAAACCCAAGAGCCGCAAGTGTCGTCCTCAGTGTGTCGTGCCACTCGCGGGGCGCCTGACGCAGGCCGTACACTGGTCGCCGTAGGCTCCACTGGGTACCCTCAGGAAACGACCCAGTGAAGCCCTCTGGACGGCACAACCAGATGGCCTCGTGAAGGCTACCCTGCAAGAAAGCTGTCGAGAAGTCAAGAAAGTGCAGCTCGTAGTCACGCTGAGCTGCAACGTGTAGCAACACCCGAAGAGTGGTCATCTTCGGGGTGGGGGAGAAGGTCTGAAAGAAGTCGACCCCCTCACGCTGACTGAAGCCTCGAGCAACGTAATGTCAACATATATTTTATATGTGTTGTTTAGGTTAGTCTAGGTGTTACGTTTCTACTTACTTGCATGATTAGGGTTTGCTATATCTAGGGTTGTACTTCACATTTTCTATCAATTCATTCTTATCGTAACATGGTATAGAGCTAGGTTTCCCTTAGGCGATTTTTCCCCTAGGCGATTTTTTCCCTTAGGCGAAATTTCTCTCGATAGTCTATGGGCCCACCACCCGCGCGCCTCGTAGCGACCCATAGCCCGAAGCGCCCTGCCCCGTAGAGCCCGAGTAGGTCGCGCCCCCCCGTCGACATCGCGCGTCACCCGTTTCTGCCCTGCGCCCCACCCGTTTTTGCCGTGCGTCACTCGTTTTCTGCCCCGCGCCCCACTCGTTTTACCCCGCGCGTTTCCCCCCAGCCCTCTAGCGCGCAGCAGACGAACGCGCGTAGCTGCGCGCGCAGCCTTAGTCGCACCCGCAGCTTCGCGCTAGTACGTCGCGGCCGCGCGCACGTGCAGCCCACCGTCTTAACCGCCCCCCAGACCTGAAAACCCGCCATTACAGACCTGAAAACCGCCGCCGAACTTGGAAACCCGCCGCCCCAGACCTGAAAACCGCCGCCCCAGACCTGACAACCGCCGCCCCACCTGGAAACCTGCTGCCCCACCCGTTCCAGGCACCTCACCCGGGATCAGCCGCCCCACCCAGTCCTCTCCACCGCATTGAACCGCACAGAACTGCACATAACTGCACAGAACCGCACAGAACCGCCGCCTTAACAGCTTCCCCACCTGAAAACCACCGCCCCAGACCTGACAACCGCCGCCCCACCTGGAAACCTGCTGCCCCACCCGTTCCAGGCACCTCACCCGGAATCAGCTGCCCCACCCAGTCCTCTCCACCGCATTGAACCTCACAGAACCGCACAGTACTGCACATAACCGCACAGAACTGCACAGAACCGCCGCCTCACCCGTAGCCCGCTGCCTTAACAGCTTCCCCACCTGAAACCTGCCTCCCTACGACCTACCACACCCGCCGTCAGTAGCCCCAGCCGATTACACTGCCGCCAGCTACACCAGCAGCAGCATAGGCTGCCCCCAGCGCACCAGCAGCAACGTAGGCTGCCCCCAGCAGAACCAGCAGAACCAGCAGAACCAGCAGAACCAGCAGAACCAGCAGAACCAGCAGAACCAGCAGAACCAGCAGAACCAGCAGAACCAGCAAAACCAGCAGAACCAGCAGAACCAGCAGAACCAGCAGAACCAGCAGAACCAGCAGAACCATCAAAACCAGCAGAACCAGCAGAACCAGCAGAACCAGCAGAACCAGCAGCAGCATAGGCTGCCCCCAGCGAACCAGCAGCAGCATAGGCTGCCCCCAGCGCACCAGCAGCAGCTTAGGCAACTGCCTGCGCACTAGCAGCAGCATTGGCTGCCCCCTGGAGAACCAGTAGCAGCCTAGGCTGCCTCTCAGCAGAACCAGAAGCAGCACAGGCTGCCCCCAGCGCACCAGCAGCAGCTTAGGCTGCCCTCAGCAGAACCAGTAGCAGCATAGGCTCACATGGCATGTACTAGGGTTCTACAGCAGCAGGGCCAGCCGCAGCACTCCCGTCAGTTGGGGCCTGCGGGTCCAAAGTGTGGCGCCCCCAGCAGTGGCTCAGCTAGCAGTGGGCGAGACGTCGGCCCCTGCGGGTACCGGGCCCTGACAGGCCCTGGTGCTGGCACTACCTGCTGGAGTCCTGACCACACTGCGTCCAGCTGCTACCGTCGACTCGACGACCTCCACCGTGAGCGTTTTGGTCCTCACGCTATTACACCGCACTGGCCTTCGCGCCTTCGCCAGCGCACTACTGCACCAGTTGAGTCTCACCTGCCTGGTCTAGGACCCTTTCCGGCTGCACGAGTAGAGACCTGTGTTTCCAGTCTTGGTGCGTGTGTTGTTTCCAGTCCCGGCGCCTCTGAGGGTCTTTGTGTAGAAGCTGCAGCTACCACTAGTCTAGCACTAGCCTTTGTAGCTGGTTCGGGTGCGACCCCACAGACTGCACAGCTTTCCTTCACCCTAGATTCTGGAGCGTCCAGCTGTTTCTTTCGCGACTGTACCGACCTCACACCACTGCGCACTCCAGTCACTGTCGCCTTGGCTGACCCCTCTATGGGACGTGTAGTTGCTAGCAGCACCACCACTCTTCCGTGTCCGGCGGCTCCCTCAGGTTTTCTTACAGGTTACTACACCCCCTCGTTCTCTAGGAACTTGGTGGGTGTCAGTCACCTTCACGACCTAGGCGTAGTCACTACTTTCCCACTGGACGAGCCTGTTGCCTCCTGCACTGTCGGTGCCACTGGGGCGCCCCTGGCCACATTCCACAGAGAGCCGGGATCTGGTCTGTACTCACTACACACTGGGTCCCACCACACTGAGTCGGGTCAGGTCAGGTCAGGTCAGGTAGCTGCTGTGTCGTGTGACTGTCGGTCCCTCACCCACCCGTCGGTCCTCTGGCACCACCGTCTAGGTCACCCGTCGTTCCCGCGTCTCAGTAGGATGGCACGTTACCGTCTGGTCTTAGGTCTCCCAGGGTCGCTTGCACCGCTTCCCCGCTCTCCTGCGCCGCTGTGCACTCCTTGCGTCGAGGGTCGGCAGCGCGCTGCCCCTCACTCCTCCTCGTTCCCCCCCACCACGGCTCCCTTCGAGACCCTGCACTTGGACGTCTGGGGCCCCTCTCCGGTCCTTGGCCCACGTCAGGAGCGCTACTTCCTGATTGTGGTGGACGACTACTCCCGCTACACCACGGTTTTCCCCTTGCGACGGAAGGCCGACGTGCCTACCGTCCTCGAGCCGTGGCTACTAGCGTGGGGTGGCGCCCAGGGCCTGTGTGGGCTTCGCCTACACTCGGACCGTGATGGTGAGTTTTCTTCCACTCGCCTGGAGACGTTCTGTCAGGGTCGGGGGATCATCCAGTCTTACACGCTACCAGCATC